ACACACTCATTTGGGATGAGGAGAGTGGTGGGCTCTAAAATGCATGCATGTTTCATTATCTTGTTATGGGCTAGGGGAGGGAGGAGCCTTGCTTGGTTTCATTCAGATCTTTATAACACAATAATCATTTGGGATGAGAGTGGTGGGCTCTAAAATGCATGCATGTTTCATTATCTTGTTATGGGCCAGGGGAGGGAGGAGCCTTGCTTGGTTTCATTCAGATCTTTATAACACAATAATTTTGAAGTTAATTTATCAGATTAGATTAATGCCTTCAAGAAATAACCACCAGGCCTGTGGGGGAGATGGCTCAGCCAGGAAAGTGCTTGCCACACAAGCAGGAAGGCATTAGCTCAATACCCAGAACCCACATAAAAAGCCAGACATGGTGGCATGTACTTGTAATCCCAGAACAGATGGGTCCCTGGGGCTGCCCAGCCTAGCCTAACCTCAAAAAAAAAAAAAAAAAAAAAAAACCCTGTCTCAAATAACAAGGTGGACAGTGCCTGAGGAGAAATGATACCCAAGGCTGACCTCTGAGCTCCACATACATGTGCACACATGTGTATACCTGCACCTATACTATATGTGCACCCACACATACACAAACATGCATATGTACTACACACACATAAAAGAAAAAAATAATAATCACCCCTTTAAAAAAAGATTTAGTTTTACTTGTGTGTATGTATGTGTATGTGTGTATATACACATGTAAAAATAAAGACCAGAAGAGGACATCAGATTCACTGGAGCTAGAGTTACAGGTGGTTATAAGCTGCCCAACATGGGTGCTCAGAACCAAACTCATGTCCTCTGAAAGAGCAGCAAGCACTCGTAACCACTGAGCCATCTCTCCAGCCCCCATCACCACTTTTTATTATTCAAGTGTGGAACTCTGAGAGTCCAGATCAAACTGTGCTCTATCCCCAACCATGGGGTAATGGGGCATAACATGACATAAACTCAATAAGGACATTGCTTGGGATCACACGAGCTAGTGTTCACTCAGCATATAGTAACCGCCTGTCAATGTTACCCCCATTAATGGACTTCTTTCTGTTGTGGCTGGATGTTACAGAGGGGGTCATCAGCCTAGACATGGTCTCAGGAAGCAATGGTTAGGTCTTACCGTCTTCCTCTCCTTCCTTCCTAGCGGCAATGGGAAGCTGGCATCCTGGGCCTCCATCCTGGGATTTGTGGTGATGATGTCCCTAGATGTGGGCCTCGGCTAGCACTGACTTTGGACCCTAGAAAGGAAAGCACCAGGCTTTGGCGGGACCACGAGCTCTCTCTTCACATTAAAACCCTGTTCCTGACTCTCCTCTTCAACCCATTATCCCAGATCAGCTCTGATGACTTTGACTGTTTTTACTTTGCTTTGGAGGGAGATGCTGGTCTTTTTTGCAATTTCAGGATATCGTGGAAGTATAGATTTGTGTTTTGACCACTGAGTGGAAGGAACTTTTCTTCAGTGGAATTGTCAAGGCCAACCCCTGTTTTCCCACCTCCAATCTCCTTCACTAGACTCAACCGTAACTCCTCAAGGTGACCCCAAGAAGCGAGCTGCGAGGAGACAAGTCCTGAGCATGTTGGCCTAGGGTCTTGGAACAGGTATCCAGAGCCTCTTCTGCTCTGTCACCATGGACCCTCTGGCCACCAAGAGCTCCAAGACAGAAGCATCATGAACCCAAAAAGCTGCTCTTCAAGGCTGAGCCAGCCCAAAGAGGGTCTGTCCCCTGACCCCCAGGGAGAATGGGAGGGCCCACACACAGAGGGAAGGAATTCAGAGAGTCTCATTTTTTCCCTCTAAGGTGAAGATTGGCATTATTGGAGTTAGAGAAATTCAGAAATTGGGGTACCTGAATATATGGTGTGCTCTGTGTGAAAAAGAGTGTGGCTTTGAGCAGAGGCCTCTGCTCTATGTGACTGTCAAGAACAGAGCAGTTTGTTATGGTTCCGAGATCCCCTAGCTGTTAATCTTGATGAGTGCATAGCCTTTGTTTTTCTAGGAGACTTACAGATAAGAGCAAATTGTGACTACTCAACGCCCTCATTTGTTAATGAAGGGAGCCACTTAAGTTAGCCCTAGCTAATGAACAACATTTGGGGTCTGCCAAGGGTCCTTCTCTGATTGCCATTTGGAAACTCACAACAGGACCAAGAGCCCTTGAGCAGGCTTTGTTGGAATCTGGCCAGAGGGCTTAGGTTGGGAAAGGAAGACATATTTTTACATATTTTCCTTTTTAAAGTACATTTTAACCAAGTTAACATTCTGAGATGACCCTAACGGATGACTGGACCTCGACTAGATGCTAACCTACTCCATCATACACATAGTTCCTCCAGTGGGGTGATAGGATAGGTCTGCTTCTGACACAGCTGACACCTGTGCCCTCCATGGTCAGAGGAGTGTGTAGGACTTACAAGGGGCTCCGTCCAGGAGCGGGCACTCAGGCACTGGGCTGTTAGTGCCTGCTGTGTTTACATGTTCCATCACTTCCGAGGGTGAATCTTGTACTCTGTGAATGCTCTGAGATCCCAGAGGCTGACCTCAGCTGGGTGTGCATACGTTCTTCCTAAGCACTGGTGGTCAACACTGAAGACACATTCAGAGATTGGGCTGGTGGAGGTTAGCTGATTTGGTGATTGGTGTGTGTGTGCTTCATTCTTGTCTTTGTATGTAGTTCTGTTACTGCGAATCGTCCTTTCCGCTGGATAAGACCTCGTGACTGTGATTAATATCAATAAAGGGAATCTTGTCGTGCATGAACTGTGTTACGGCCTGTCCTTCTCGATGCTGCTTCTTTCCTGGGCTGGTGATGCTCATCCGCACCCAACACCAGCAAGTGTAAAGAAGATGCTCACAGAAGAACAATTGGTCAGATTGTAGGCTCCAAATTATATCTAATTCCAGCTTACTTAAGCAAGAAAAGAGATTGGTGGAAGGCTGTTAAGGTACTCACAGGATCTAGTGAAGAATCGGAAATGGGTTGGATCCAAGACAGCTAGAGGTCTGGGGCTGAAGCCCAATCGTGTTTGGAGAGCGGCCCCATCTAGATGCCACAGCCCTTGGCACTGTTGCCCAAACACTAGACACCTCTACGGACACTCCTGCCTTTTGGTGCCACCAACAGCACCATGAGACCGAACTTACTTTGATCCTTTGTGTCCTGGTTCCTCCTTCAAAATGCAGGACACAGGGCCTAGGGAGATGGGTCAGTCAGTAAAGCACTTGCCTTGGAACCATGAGAACATAAGTTCCATGGGTATGGTGGTGCACACTTGTAATCCTAGCACTGGGGGATGGATCCTCAGGGCTTCCTGGCCAGCTAACCTCGAACTTGGTGAGTTTCAGGCCAGTGAGAGACCCTGTCTCAAACAAACAAGGTGGACAGTATCTGAGGGATAGTAGCTGACACCCTTTGGCTTCTACACATATGCACACACACACATCCACTGCACCCACACACACCGGTGCACCTGAAACACACGCACGCACTCACGTGCACACACACACACACACACACACACACACACACACATGCTGGACAGAAACATCCGTTTACAACTTTGAGCCTGTGCCCATGAACTAGCTGGTCTTGCCCTTTATCAGGACTCCAATAATAGAGAATTTTCCATATTTTGGAATGAGTTCAGATGGTGGAGAGAAAGCTGGTTCTGGGTGCCGCACCTGTCTCTGGTTCATCTGTACATACTGTGATTCCTCTACTTTCATATTTAATATGAAAAGACACTGACTTCTCAATCCTTGTATGATCAAGACTTCACTGGTCTCCCTCACACAGGGAGCTAGCCCAGTATCTAACAGTTCCTGTTTTACAGGTCTCTGTATTAGACTGCTTTTCAATACGTAATTGCTCCCAAATTTTGTATCAATAAAAAATGGAAAAATCCAGAAATTTTGCTGGTTCCAAATCCTCATCCTTCTTGGTTTGGGTCTGTCACAGCCTGTCACTGTGGTTTGAGGCTGGTTTGAGGGTGTCCCCCAAGTGTTTGTGTGTGGGCAGCTTGTGGCAATGTTACAAGGTTGAGAGGCTGAGTTTAGCGGGAGGTCAAAGGTCATATTAGCACCCTCAGAAGGAACTGACGTGATTCTCCGAGGACCTGGGTTAGTTCTTGAGTATAGCCTTTTCCTCTCTCTGTGTGACCTCTCCCATCTCCCTTTAGACCCTCACCAAGATTGAATGCGTGGAGCTGCTCAATTGTAGACTTTCAGCCTCCAATACTGTAAGCCAAACGAACTCTTCTTTCTTTAATTAAAAATTTGAGCATTTCACACATGAGGACTATGTTCACATCATTTCTACCCCTTCCTTTCCCTCCTCCAAGTCCTTTTGCATCCGTCCCTACTCCCTCTCAATTCTGTTACCTCTTCCTTCTTTACACAAGCGCACATATGCACTCACACATGCGCACGCACACATACGCTACTGAGTTCATTTGCTGTTGCTCATATATGCATGTCTGCTGATCACTTGGGATTTAATAATCTACCGGGGGTACCTGGAGAGGGCTGCACTCAGCAGTCATTGATTGCCTGTAGCTCTTCATCTAGAGCTGGGACCTGGTAAAACATTCCCCACCCGTACTGGCTTGTCAGTTCGTATGGTCATCGTGCAGGTCTTGTTTAGACAGCAATATTGATGGGATCTAATGGGTGCAGCTTCCCTGTAATGTCTAGAGAACACCATCAAGAAGCACGTCCACTGTGTTCCCTAAGCCTTAGGTGTACATAAATGCCCTGCATCATAGAGGTGTCCGGGCCTTGGCATCCATGATCACGTATTATCCGCATTTTGGCAGTTATTGAACTCTGTAATAGTCTCCATCTGTTGGAAAGAGAAGCTTCCTTGATGAGGGGTGAGAGCTACACTTATCTGTGAGTATAAGGGTACGTATTTAGAATACAGTTAGAAATTATACTGGTTTAGGAACCAACAGGTTCTGTAGTGTCTGCGTCCTCTCCAGCCATGAGTGTTTGGCTAGGTTTACAATACCAGACATGGATCCCCTCCTATTGAGCAGGCCTCCTAGTAGACAACTGTTGGTAACCCCCAAGATGAAAGTGCCACTGTTGTGTCGTTGGTCATAGTTTGCTGGGCCTGTCATTGTTGCAGTTGTTAATTTTTACAGCTGAGCAGGACTACTGATTGCTTTTCTTCTTGGCAGTTTGCATAGCACTTTCCAATACTATGAGAGCTAAGTCCTCAGGGAGGCTTTTCTAAATAAAAAAAAGCCTCAGGAACTTTGTTATAGCAATGGTAAACTGACAGAAACACTGTCTTCTGCCGCTAACTGGGCAATAACTCTATCAGCCTTGTGGATAATTGAGAGTAGTGCACATGGGGAATGGGCATACTCTTGCAAGATGGTGTCTGCAAACAAGGCAAGGAAATTACCTTGTCTCTATGAAGTGCTTCAGAAGTCAAGAAGAGGGGGCTCAGGCCACACAGGCGGCTCTTTGAGGATCCACAATTCAGAGACCACTTTACACATCCTCCCATGTGTCTCCCTTCTGGCTCTCTGGGTCCTACTCCTTTGTCATCAGTGCTCCAATTCTCTTTAGAAGGCCATGATTTTACCAGTGTAGAGACCCAGCTCACTGTCAAGATCCAGTTGCACCTTTGGTCTTCTGTGTTCTCAATCTCATGGATGAGAGAGGTAAGAGGCTACTGAGGAACCATCATAGGGCCGGGGAGATGGATCAGGGAGTAAAGTGCTGCACAAGCATGAGACCCTGAGGTTGGATCCCCAACACTCATGTAAAAGTCATGTGAGGCAGTGAGCACCTGTAACCCCAGTGCTGGACACCAGGAGTAGAGATGGGGGGAAATCACTGAATCCCATCAGCCAGCCAGTCTAGCCAATTGGTGAGTGCTAGGTTCAGTGAGAGACCCTGTCTCAAAAGATAAGTCAGAGAGCAATAGAGGAAGACAGCTGACATCAACCTCTGGCCTTCACATGTACCCTCATGTCTAGATAGATAGAGAGATAGAGAGATAGAGAAATAGAGAGATAGAGAGATAGAGATAGAGATAGATAGATGATAGATAGATGATAGATAGATAGATGATAGATTAGATAGATAATAGATAGACAGATAGACAGTAGATAGATAGATAGATAGATAGATAGATAGATAGATAGATAGATAGATAGATAGATAGATAGATAGATAGATAGATAGATAGATAGATAGATAGATAGATAGATAGATAGATAGATAGATAGATAGATAGATAGATAGATAGATAGATAGATAGATAGATAGATAGATAGATAGATAGATAGATAGATAGATAGATAGATAGATAGATAGATAGATAGATAGATAGATAGATAGATAGATAGATAGATAGATAGATAGATAGATAGATAGATAGATAGATAGATAGATAGATAGATAGATAGATAGATAGATAGATAGATAGATAGATAGATAGATAGATAGATAGATAGATAGATAGATAGATAGATAGATAGATAGATAGATAGATAGATAGATAGATAGATAGATAGATAGATAGATAGATA